GCAGCTGCAGCTGCCCTCGGCGCTCACGCTGCTGCCGCCTTCCTTCACCTCGCTGTGTCTGCCCGCGCAGAACTGGTGCGCCAAGTGCAACGCCTCCTTCCGCATGACCTCCGACCTGGTGTACCACATGAGATCGCACCACAAAAAGGAGTACGCCATGGAGCCCTTGGTGAAGCGGCGGCGGGAGGAGAAACTCAAGTGCCCCATTTGCAACGAGTCCTTCAGGGAGCGCCACCACCTCTCCAGGCACATGACCTCGCACAATTGACCCGGAAAGGATCCCCACCCCCCCCCCCCCCCCTCCTCGCCCACCTCCCTTCGTCCTCCAGGCTTTCCTGGCGCTCACACAACACACACCACCTGCTGCAGGAACAAACAACGCGAGGACACCCCCCCCCCATCATCCATCGCTTCCTTGTGACTGGACAAATTCCTGCACACAGACACACCCTCCCAGGGACCTTCTCATTCAGATGTTTACCCGGGACACACACACATACACACCACACACCTCAGCCAGGAAGTTGGATTTCTGATTGGGTGGGTTGTTTGAGGGGCGTTTTCCTTTGAATGCACGCATTTTCACTTTCCCCCCAAAAAAAAACAAAGGTACATTTTTAAAAATGTCATATATTGCAACATATTGATGCATTTGTCATACGTTTCTACTTAAATTATTAAGCACTTAACGGTTTAGATGTAATAATTCTATGTAAGGGGAAATTTTATTTTAGATATAAAGTCACGGAGGAGGGGGAGATGCTTTCTGCATTTCTCGACGACAGCTTGTGTTCTTATAAAAATGAGCAAAACGAATAAAAAGGGTGGGGGTGGCCATTCAGTTTTAAGTTTCCAGGGGAAAGTGCATGTATCATGAAGTGATTATGGACTTCAGTGGAGAATGTCATCAATATGTAAATATGTATTTCCTTTTAATATAAAGTGAAATTTTGTGCCAGTGACATGGAGTCTGAATAGTTATGTGTTTCTTTTATCCCTGGAAAGATTTATTAAACTTTATAGTTTATCCAGGTATGTTGGATGCTTTCACAATAAATGACTATTTTCTTCAAAATAATTACTTGTAAAGCTTTTAACATTTGTTTTTGGAGTTAAGTGCTATTCTTTGAGTGAACATTTATTTTTTTGTGTGAGAAGAGGGGGCAAGATAGTAGGAAAAAGAACCCCCATTTACGTACTTACTATACTCTAATTTTCAGTCTAAAAGTTTTATCATCTGGAAAATCTTTATCGGAAACTGTCGATCTTCATTATTTCATTTTTGAATAAGAAAACAATAATAGAGGGGTCCATTTTGATGACTGTGTAAGATGCATACAGTACATTTCCTCTGTGGTATTCCCAGACGCTATCAGTGTTTGGTGATTACATTATACCGCCTTCAAATATATTTAGTCTTCACCTCTCAGTATCTTTTCCTTTCCCCCTCCCGTTTTATATCTTTTATATCACTTATCATTATCATCATCATTTTAGGTCTAGATACCACAAACAAAGTAAAACATGTGACACTTTACTTTTGAGCTTGGTTTATACCATTCAACATGATGATCATCCACTTGTCCATGAATGACATAATTTCATTTTATTTATTAATACCCCATGAGGTATTTGCATATATATGTATATGTCATTTTTAAAAAATCAATTCATTGGTTATTGGCCACCTCTGATGATTCCTCACAGTTTGGCTCTTTCTTATGAACAGGGCTGCACAGCATTGAGTATGTAGGTATTTCACTTGCATGATTTATATTCCTTCAGATTATATATGCCCAAGTATGTACGCTCAAGTGGTATGGTGGGAGCATAAATCAGAGACACCTGCCACGTAACTTGTCACTAGGATGTCAGTATTATTTTCAGCAGCAGGATACTTCCCATCTCTACAAATGTCCAGAGATAAATGATTTTCAGGTCTGCATCTGGGAGAACAGGTGAAAAAGACCACTTTAGGTTCCAGTGATGAGGTTGACATGGACTTGCACTGCAGGACCTTTAGCATTCTAGTAAGAGACTCAGTAGAGATTTTCCCTCAAACCAAGTTTTTAATCCTAATAAAGTCTAACACACACACACACACACACACACACACACACACACACACACACAGTCTTTGAACAATACTACCAGAAAAATTATAGTACAGAAAAACCTGATAACTTTTCTACTCTACCCATTCCGTTTCTTAGGGAAGACCATTATGTCATCTTCACATACTACCCCAAATTCTTAAAACTATACATATGTAAATATATATGGTAAATACTGTACTACTAGACATAAAACCAAGTGTCCAGTATTGCTTTAGGTGTTAAGGCTAGATCCTTATAGCCTATGCGGTCTCTGTGGTCACTCTAGAGATATGTGAGAAACAGTGCACTGGTTTTGCTATCATAAGAGTGAGATTTTCCATTCTCTCACCCTTTTTCATGTTCTATTAACATTCCCCTAAATCTGATATTTGTGGCACAGTCCAAAATGGGACATTTACAAAATATCTCATTACAATCTTTTCAGTGATTTCCTAAAGAATTTATAAGTCTTCATTATTTTAAGAATACCAGAAGACCCATTGTGATTAGAGTAGGAAATAGGTCTAGACTATGTGCAGGGCAAAGAAATCTACTGCGAGTGTGACCAAGGTTAGGGGGAAATAAGCAATGAGCTTCTTTAGGATAACCCAGCATTCTTTCTTGTGTGCTATTTCTTTGAGGCCTGCTTTCACAGTTTTCCTAGGCAAGTTTTCTGATTGCCACTCTCAACCCTAGCAAGGAATGGTGAGAGCAACTCAGAATTCCAGTTCTGACACTTCTGTTCTTGGCGACTATGGCTGTGCATCATTGCTAATGTCATTTGATTTAACTGTACCTTGGCCTTCTCATCGGTCAGACAGATGAGGCACATTCTACTAGGCTTGCAGCACTTCTTGGAAGTGCTTGTAAGACATGCCTTTTTCTAATGAGCTAAGCAATTGAACTTGAAGGAGCTTTCTAGAGAAAGACCAAGATGATTAGTTATGTAGAAAACCTGAACGACAGGAAGTGATGAAGATATTTAGGTGGGGCAGATGGGAGGTGGTGCTTAAAAGATCCTTAAATTACGAGACCTGAAAGGCAGACTAAATTGTCTATGCCCCGAAGAGTAGTGGATTTCTGGAGCAAAACTATTAAAAACAAACGTGTTGTCCTGGGATCTAATTTAAAAGAAAAAAAAAAGAAAGCCAACCTTAAATGCCCTTTTCTTCTCTAGCTGATCCTTCTGGAATCTTCTTTTTGGCCTCATTATCTGTTGGGAATTTAAATAGGAATGAACTGGGTCTCTGGAAATGTATGAGTACATACTGCTTTTTGAAAAAGGCTTTCCCCTCCCCACCCCACCCCCCCAATCATGACTTTAAAACTTATGTTTGAAGATACAGACTCTGCTGCGGGGGTTTCTTTTGTGCATTTGCGAATGTTAAGACAGCAGAACCGCCTCTGAGTTATTGCCCTAAGATCCAAATGGAGGCAATCATGGCAGATACTTTAGGATATGATATCTATCCTGTTGATCAATCTGCGCACTGAGGCGACCTTGGCTGGAGGTACTAAGGGAAGGATGCCCAAAGCTAGTTTTACCACAAGCCAAGACAAACTCAGCAGTGTTTTATTTTTATGCTGCATTTTCAAGCTTTCAGATGTACTATCATCCTCTCTTGTATTTGAGCCTTTCCAGAAAGGAGCTTTTAGTGTTCTGTCACCCGGTCTTGTCTCCCCAGCAAGCTGAGATCGCCGGTCAAGGCTGTGGTTTACATGTCTGCACACGGCTGAGAAGAGATCAAGTTCACAGGATCGTGCGGGCTTCCAGACAAATTGGTCCCACAAATTCCCCCCACCAGGTGGCCAGATCGTTCCATCCAAGCCGAAGGCCTGATCATCCTGTGAGCAAGCATAAGAAAAGCCGGTCCTCAAGCCAAACCAGTTGCTTCACCGGCATCTGTGGTGTGTCGGTCGGTGGAAGAACGCCAGGAATTGACTCTGCTTCTAGGGTCTGCAAATTCTAGGCGGGTTCCAGCACGGATCCTCAATCCACTCACACCAGACCTTAGCAGGAGGAGTCGCCTTTATTTTCCAGCCTGTGCTCGCAGCGTGTGGCCATGCCCCCACCAGCCTGCGGAACTAGAGGGGCCAAAGGGTTGTGCGTGGCACGCATCTCTTCAAGGGTCCTGGAAAACACAGAAATCCAGCCTGGCTGAGAAGGTTCCCAAGATCCGCAGCACGCAGCACTCACTCTAGAACTGTGTCCCCCACCCCCACCCCCACCCCCGACAACGCCGTGGCCTGTGTGCTGCAGTCACCGTGGCATTGGGGACTCATTGAAAGCTCAGTGGTATGGACACAGTTGGACGCTGCTGTATTTGGTAGGAGCTCAGAGGAGCCAGGCTCTCTCCCTCAGCCCTCTAGACTATGCTAGCCGTGGGCTGTTAAATCCTCCCTCCCCCCACCCCACCCCAATGTTAATTCATTAGGCCAGCAGCCCGGTGAACTTGACCTCCAACTGGGAAATCTTGAACAGCCAGCCTCGGAAACACTTAGCCAAGAGTGTTATCTAGCTCCCTTCAAGATCGCCAGCCGCCTCTCTCCTCCAGGGCCTCTCTACTCTCTTAGTGCATCTCGAGCTGCAGGCTGGGGTGGAGGGGTGGAGGCGGGGCGCGCAGTTGGCTGCGGTGGTGGGGACCCCGGCACAGATGCGGTGGCGCTGCGGGTCACCACCGACGCGCCGCCGAACGCCATCCAGCACCTGCCCGCAGCTTTGAGCTAGTCTCTTTTTCTTCTGTCTTTGCTCAAGTCCAACTTCTGGAATGAAATGGGCTCATTCTCTGGCATCTCCTGCTTTCTATATCCTCACCTCTTCCTCCTCACTTCCATAACCTTCCTGTCTTTTAAGGCCTTGTGGAGCTTTTTGTTTCTGCCTGTGGTTTTATGAAAGTTCTCTGGGTGACTTTCCACCACCGAGGTAACAGGCTCCAACAGCAGCCCATCTGGAAACTGCACTGAGATTACCTGCTCCTGGGATTGGAGGAGACTAGCAAGCACCCACGTCCCCCCTCCCTCTCAGACCCCTCCTCTCTCTTCCTCCCCCCCTCTGTCTCTCTGTCTCCGTCTCTCTCTGTCTGTCTCTCTGTCTCTGTCTCTGTATCTCTGTCTGTCTCTCTCTGTCTCTGTCTCTGTCTGTCTCTCTCTCTCTCTCTCTCTCTCTCTCTCT